GAATATCTTAGCTTGGGCAAATATAAATAACACATAGCATTTATGGGAATGATACACTGTGTTGGTTAAGATATGCATAGATCCTTAAGGATAAAAAATAAAACTATTAGCACTCTTTCACTCACAAAAAGTATAGCAATATCCTATCATGAAAGGAAAAAAAAAAGAAACAACCAAAGTGCCCTGAATAAGACTGGCAACAACAAAACACCCTACTTACTCATAAAAATATCAAAATCAAGAACTGCTGTTACATCTCAAAATAATGAGTATATAGCTATCCCAGTGATAGTTCAAACTTGCATATGTATATCTAGCACAGGCACCATGCACTGCAGAGACCAGTTTTCTCATACTGTCATTAAGGTCTTTCTCAAAACCACTCTTCTTACTGTTCGCTTTTGGATGTGGTGGTGACTGGTAGTCTTAATCAAAGTTATTCTAGCATGGCAGAAAATAGATACAATTTTGGAAATGGCTACACTCACATTAAACTAGTGAAACACCCCTACTATGTTGAAAATATCTGATATTATACACATAAGCAAAAAGGTTTTTAAAAAGTAAAGCAAACACTTTGCAAGGGATAAAGTATGATTAATTTTCGGAGAGAGAAAAAAAAATCAAATATTGTCAACATTTCACTTTCAGTTGTCACTGATAAAGATTTACACAATCAGTATAAAATACACATGGTCACTATTCAGTTCCTATAAAAAATAATTATCCAAGACCACATACAAATATTAGTCCAAACTCAGCTCTGGTTTTTTCATCCCCAAGTAAAATATATCGCATGATGCTGTCTCTATTACTTTCTTCATTTGAGAGCAAACTACAGATGCAGCATTTAATAATTCCCCATTTAATGCAACTGACATATTATCAATCAACTGCACATGTCTTCTCATGTATTTACAAATCTAAGAGTGCATGCAACACTACATATCTTTCATATAATTATATTCACACCTTGCATGCCAATACATTAGGATTATTACACTGTATACTGTTACTAAGCATCTTCCATAACCATTCATGGTAGTCAGGTTTAATTACCAAACTAATATATATATATATATAATTCCCACCAGTACATTTGTGCTGCATTACATTTAGAATCAATAAATTATACAGTATATAATCTCATACACATAGAGGTTCTTTCCAGTTACATGTGATAATATTTGTTCTAATGACTAGTAGTAAAGTAACTCAAAACTTTTTTGATACAACAGACAGACTTACAGGATACAAGTCTTCTCATTTCTTCTGATTGGACTAAATTTAACACATATTTAAATGCAACATAGTATGTGGTGCCTTAAACATTAATAACAGTGACATCTCCATTTTGCCATTGAGTAAAGAATAATTTTCCATGAGTCTGCTATACCCCTTCAACCAGACATTACACCTTGAACTATTAACCTGATTTTTCCATTCCTAAAAACAATTTGTGAGAAAGGATTAAGAAATTTGGACAGCTGATAATTTGTTACCTAATATAATGAACACTTCATTCCAATAAAAATACTCATGAATCATAATCAAAATCCTGCAGAGAATAAAACTTCTTTTGTATTTTACAGTTTTTCTTCTTGAAAGATAATAATCCAATATATAATTCATCTGCAGAAAATAAGATGTACAGTCACCTGACAAAGTAGCTTGCACAGTAAGATATCTAACCAGAAAATATTAAAACCCTGAACATAGTTGCTACATCTCATTTCATTAGAAAATAATAAATAAATAAATATTATACTTATCACATGCCATATATAATTTCAGTCACTCCTTTGTATATATACCAAATTTACCTGATTAGATGCAGTTGTGATGCAGCTTGCTACAAACTCAAATCTCACAAAAGAAAAACAAACCATCTCATTGAGTATCTTTGCCACCATAATAGTTAACCTTAAATGATTTATGCATACAGTTTTACCTTCAGCTTTAGCTTCAGATATATAACATATGTAGCCATATTAGAGTATGAACTTTTGCACAAAAATTACTCTAAGTATGTAAATACTTTATAAAATGGGAATTTTGCAAAATTTAAAACCTTAAATGATCATACAACCTTTAAAAAATGTAAACATTTTATACTGCTTTAAATAGAGCAACTTCCAATCAAGTACATATGGTAATGTATGAGGTGTCAAACATAAATGTGGGATTATTTACCTGCCTCTATCTGGAAGTTGTCATATTTTCAAGATATCCCATATATATGGTGGTGATTGCTTTCTGACCCATAATTTACATGAAGTCACCTTTCCTTCTACAGTGTAAACCAAGGACCTAATATCCATAACATTCATAGTCCACCAAAATATGCACATACAGAGAACTAAAGAACAAGAACAAAAAGACCAAAATTAAGTACTGCACGAAGCATATCCCTATAAAAAAAATCTACAAGTGCCAACAGCTCTGGCAAAATTCTACATTAATGGTGGTTCTTAGGTACCCTTTCTTCTTTTTTTCTACT